GCAGTATGTAAAATTGATAAATTATAAATTTAAGATTAGGCAATCAGGACACAATTATTTTGTTTTTAATTAGTTACTTTAATAGCAAATGTTGACTTCTGTGCCTGTATAAAATGTTTTCTTAGTCTGTTTAAGACTAAGAACAATGTGACGCTTATGCTTTCAACTATGCTTCTTAGTAACAGATATTATACATGCTTATACTTGGTTTTTTGAACTGGAAAACATTATTGTAATTACTACTTGCTAGTACTGGTTTTATGTAAACACTCCAGGTTGGTTTTATAACTATGTAATGTCAGGCGTACCTAGACAGAACTAAATCTTACCGCATACAAAGACACTTGTTCCCAAGATCATAGCTGATTTAAAATAATTATTTTATTTTAAATAATTTATTTATTAATTATAAAATAATATAAATATAAAACCTTTGGTTGCAATGTACATTTGATTCTTCTTAAAATTCCAATCCCTGGGGAATAGCTTTAAGCAAAACTTAGATATGTCTTTCAAATGTTCTTGGATTAAAATAAAGTCAAACCCCCGGATATTTTATAGTTGAGATTCTATTTAATATTTTTTCATCCTGTCTGAGACTTCTAGTTGTCATTCCAACACAAGAAGGCACTAGATGATAGAAACTGCACCACTGTGACCAGAGGATATGACTAGGCCATTTCTTCAACATGCTAAGGAAATCAGGAACACCCTATGGTAATGTGCATTATTTACATCATGGATGGCATTCTCTTCCCTTCCATTTTTAGGGCCGGTCAGCATGATAGGCTCTGCACTGTCCTTAGGCTATAATTAGGTCAATTGGATAGATGAAGTTTGAATTTACTATCATGGAACATTAAAGTTTAGTTCCTACAAGGCAAAGATCAGCTATATGACAGCTATATTTAATTTTGAAAGTGTTTGGAGGAACATGAAATTGAGGGTCTTTTCTGTATTAGGTATTATAATATTATGGCAGGAGGATAAGCTTTTTACATTTTTAATTATTTGCACGTTGTCATTTGGGCAGTCTACAAGTTTAATATATTATTTTTACTGGTTTGTCCCACAGCCAGCCAGATGTTTAGAATGGATTTGGAATTATTATATTTATCCATGTTTCACCAATTTAAACACTGTGATCTGAGGAGGATATGTATGTGTGTGTGTGTGTGTGTGCATGACACAGCACCTTTTAAAATAATGGAGATTTACTGAAATATCTCATCAGCAAAGTGTTGTGACAGATGGGTGAATTGTTGCAAATAACCAAATCAATTAAACTGAAAACCAAATGACAAGAACTTGGCTTTCCAGACATTCAGTCAACCATTTTTTCAAGGCAAGTAGTTTTCTCAAGGTTCCCTGCGGGAATCAACTGTATGCAAGCAGACTTTTTATTGTTGTTGTTGGTTGGCTGGTTAGGAAACCTTCACACTGTAAATAATAGGTTGGGTAACCAGGCACATACTGTCCACAATACTTCTAAGCACCTTTCATACTGAATTCAATGGGATCTAGTTCACAATAAGTGTGCTTACACCTGTCGCTTTGGAACGTTAATTGTCAAGAAGAAGGAAAAAAAAGGCTAGATAAAATTCTGATCAAGAGTTCCACCTGTGACCCTAAATAATGAAGCTTGAGAAAAGTTACATTTTATATTATGTATACTAAAACACAAACAGAAAAAGAGCTTTAGAAATTCTGGTTCATTCAGTCACTAGCAGAAAGAGACAGACAGGCTTTTGAATAGCATTTTGTTCAAGCATTTAAGTAACACAATTCACTTTTCTACTTCTTTGCTTTGAAAAATTCTTTATGAATAAAGTTTGATACAAGGGGGAAAATACTAGTATGACTACTACGGCAGGCCTTTCTGTTACACCAGTGTGATCATTGTAATAAATTTAATAAATTATTATTAACCTTTCTAAGCACCTCTTGAGTGTTCTATGTCAGTAATCCTACACACATTTACTAAGTGGTATTTATTCTGTGTAAACACTCATTGGTTCAGGTTAATAAAAATTTGAAGTGGTATAAGAGTTACATTAAAGCAAACTTCAAACATCAGAAAGAATTAACTCTTGTGCACAAACATTCTGCAGTATCAATTAATTTATTAATTACTATGGATTTTGTTTATGTATTCAGTTGTCCAATGGACTCTATTGGAATATATATGCATAAATTAGAAAGGTAATAAAGTTAATCCCTCAAGACAAGCTAAAGTAGCTTGATAAACACTTGATATCTGAGCACAATGAGCAAACTCAAGTTTAGTTGAAGCGGACTTTTGCAAACTTTAACAAAGTAAGGGTGTTGTCTAAAGCAGCACTAGAAAACTTTTACAGTTTTATTAGAGGGCTGGTATTACCATTGTTGTTCAAGAACTACTTTTAAAAATCCCAAACAAAAGAAATACTCTGCATATAGGCAGATTTGTCATTCAGATTAATACAATCTTACTAAACTTAACTTCACAAATTGTACATTCATTCATTAGCTTATGCAGTACTTAAATATACAAAGTTGTTAAACTGACTTCGACATCACAATGGATCTTATTCATATGATAGTTAAGTTGGTAGTACAGTGGTCTAAAGCACCCTGTTATTAAGACCAGCTGCCTACAATTACTGCAGGTTCGAATCTTGCCAGGCTCAAGCCTTCCATCCTTTCTAAGGTAGGTAAATTGAGGACCCAGTTGTGGGGGCAATAAGCTGACTTTGTATAAATATACAAAAGGATGAAGGCTATTGCTTAGCACATTGTAAACCGCCCTGAGTCTCCGGAGAAGGGCGGCATATAAATCAAATTTTAAAAAAAAAGTTCAAGATTTTTAAAAAATGAGAGAAAGACTGAAATGTGGCACTTTAAGATCACCAATTAATTCCAGGGACAATAGTGGAATGAATGAAATAAAACCAGTAAGTCAAACATCCAACATCTTATTTTTAAAGCTCTTACCTTGGACCTTTCCTTGACATAGTATTTACCCAATCTACTGCCACAAAACATCACCAGCCTATCTACCAGCGACAAGAGAAAGTTGATGGCCTCGCATCCTTCCTCGGTGCCTGCGATCCATTTTATCTGGTCTCCTCGCAAGTGTCTCTTGGAGATGCCCTGGCGCTGGCCGGCCAGTTGACCGTCCTGCAACTCCCCTCTATAATGCATCTGTTTCACACATTCCAAAACGCAGTCCCCTATTATCTCGCCCAAGAAATTGTCCAAGTAGCAAAAGCCAATATCACGCAAACAAGGTACAATATAGTCCAGGGCGATTTTCTCTAAATCCAATCTCATAATATCGCCCAATAGCATTTCAGTAACGCGATTGATTTCTCACCTCTAAATAATGTCCGAAAGAGCAATCGAGTATTGGATTGGTCCCAGAGGCTGCTCGGGTATCGGTTATTTTTAACAAAACGAATCGGCCGCTCGCTTAAAGGATATCTAACCCTTGAAGATGTCGGGATGGAGAACCGCAATCTGTGTCAGGGAAGCAACGAAGCGGGGCGCTCAAAAAGTTTTGCTGAAGTAATACTCGGTCTTCCGTGCAGCCAGCGGTCACCGTCTCCGCTCCTCGCCACTCCTGGCGACCCAAGCAAGGCTGGAGAATGGAATGAAAATTACCACCACTCCCCCCACCCTCGGGGCTGCCTTCCACCTACTGTTAAGGGTAACACCTTGGTTGACAGACAATTGCTGAAGTTCTTTGCTATTGGTGTAGATCAGTGAGAAAAGTGAACGACCCCCCCCTTTTTTTTTTCTTTTGGCTGATAGGATCACTCCCCCTTTTGGGGAGCCACGTCCGGCAAACTCCTTTCCAATTTAATTACCAAGGCAAGCAGATGGGCCCCCTCTCTGATTTAATACGTCTGCTACGTGCAGAATGTGTTCCCAACTTCTACAGCCAGCGGCACGTGGGTGGAGCCCCGGCCCAGAAACAATCTCTGCCGCGCGCGCCCACACATCAACCAAAGGGACGTGGACGCAGCCAATCAACGAAGAGACGAGGTGTGGCTCCGGACGGTGCTTCCAGCCACCCTTCCCTCCCCCCCCACTCCGCGCCACACACCCTCCCCCAATTCACGGCTGGAATTGCCGCGTGGGGGGGGGGGAGAGAGGGAGTCGAAGAGCCGCGTGGCTGTAGGGGGCGTGGCTTGGGGCTTGCCAGGCCTGAAGACCACACTCCGAGGGGGGCGTGGCCTCCGCCATTGAGGAATTCTACCCCAGCATGTACGCGGGTCACATACTACAGGCCAATGTAAACAAACGGGAGGGAAAGGGTGTAAGCGCGCAAGTGACAGGGGAGTTTCTTCTGGCAAATGAACCTAACCGAAAGGGGTTGAGTTTACAAGCGCTCAGCATTTTTGCCCCGGAAGGCGTCTTCCCCTTTTTTCCCCCCCACACCTGACTTTCTGCTCACAAATTATTTTATAAGCGACGTTAGTCGTATTTTAACGTTTTAAGTGCCCTCGTTGCAGAGGCTGCATCCGAAAGGCTCCTACGATTTTAACCGAATGGATATCGCATCTCATATATGCCATTTAAAAAAAAAGCAAGACACCCCTCCCGATTCTTGCTGCATAACAATATAAAAAATCAACAAGAAAACTTTTGAATAAAAATCTTCGAGATGTATTTCCGATGAAGTGTATTTTCATGTTTCCGGAAAAGTGAAATGAAAGAAAAAGAGAGAAAATTGCTCTTGATGTTGCGATAATACCCCCTTCTTGTCTGGTTCGGAAATCAATCACGTGTAACTCGTATTATCTTGTGGGAATTCGACCCTTAAACTTGTATTTTACTAAACGAACGGATTAGGGTATTTAAAAGAGAAAAATAATGCCAAGACAAACAAACATACAAGAGTGACCAGAACGGCACAGCTAAGAGTTCAGACTCCCAAGTGACAGCGAGATTAGAAACTTTGGGAAAGTTGTTGGTAGTAAGTGAAGAACAAAGTCCTGGATACTGAAACTACTAACCTTGTGTCTTCCTCTAATTTTGTAATGCCCCAGCTTCCCATCTGCGTACATGATGAGCTTATCCATTTTTTTCAGGAGGTAGCCTATGTTCTCACATCCTGGTTCACTGCCCTCTACCCACAAGATCTTGTCCCCGCGGATGGCTTTGTTGCTGCCCAGTTTCTGACTCGCCAGGGCTCCGTCCTGGAATTTGTCACTCAGGTGCAAAGCCAGGACTTCTTGGAAGATTTTCTCGGCTATCCGGGATCCCAGGAAATGGTCTACAACGCACAAGCCATAGGCGTTCATGCAAGGCACTATATAGTGTAAGACTAGCCTCTGAGCATCTCGGCGGTGCTCTCGGACCGGCGCCCGCTTAGGCGGCGAAGGGCCGGAGGGCAAGGCGCCCTCGACCACTCGCACTTCGCCTGAGTTGCCGGGGGAGAGGAGAGCTCCCAGGGAGCCCCTCGCCGGCCCGTCCGGCTGCTCCTTTCGCCCGGCTCGGTCCCCATCCTCGCTGCTTTCGGGGTGACCGATGAAAATCTTCCTCATGCTTTCTACTGAGTCGCCACTGAGTTCGGTCGGAGGCCGCACGGCTGCTTCCCTGCCCGAGGCCATCTGCAGGCAAGTCAGATCCGCCTGGCGGCCGGCATCGCCTTACTAGGGCGACGGCATGCCGCTGCTGTTGCGTGTGGCCCTGCCCGAGCCGGCCCCGTGCGGGAAATGCCATGTTCGCCGCACACTACCGGATACCAGAGGACAAGCCGCTCGGGAGCGTGCACACGTACCAATGGGAGCGAGCGGCACATTGCCCTCCCGCCCCCCGCCTCCCTCGATCCCGCCTCCTTCTCGTGCCGCCTCCTCCTCCCCCGCCATCCCTCGGGGACACGGGCTGGGAACACGCGAGATCCAACGAAGCGCACGAAAAACTCCCGGGCAGTGCTGGACGTGCAAGGGAGAGGAGGGAGTCTGGGATTGGTACGTGCCCTCTCTAGTTGGGAACGGCCGACGTGAGACACCCCCAAAAAAAACTGGAAAACGCGCTGGAGCTATCTTTTTCCGTTCACCTGGATGGCCCCGGTCTCTCTCCGAAAAATATATATATATTCCCTCAGACCCTCACTTCTTTTCATTTTGTCCCAAGCCGGAGATCGTGAAAATGGTGGCTGCCCGCGAGTAGTTCCATCTGCTTGGTGGATGGAGCAATAATGCCTGGACTAGAGCGGGCGCAAACATTTCAGGCAGTAAATATTTTTCATAATCCCCTCTTGAAGAAAACTGCTGAAACCAAGAATTTGCAGTCCCAGGAAGGCCTTAGGAGATAATAGGAGCGTGCATATTCCCATAACTGGGTTCTATTACAGTCTAGTTTACCAGGATAGATAAATTCCTGTGGATGGTGCCCAGTTTGAGAGATCAGGTTTGGTGTAATCGTTTAAAACAGCAAGCTAGAAATAGGAAGACTGAGTTTTAGTCCTGGTTTAGGGTGAAACTAGCTGGGTGATCTTGGACCAGTCATTCCATCTCAGCCCTAGGAAGCAGACAATGGCAAACCAGTTTGGAAAAACTTGAAAAACTACAGAGACTTGTCCAGGCAGTCATCAGGAGTCAACACTATACAACACACACAAAACCACCAAGTTTAGTTTGTATACTCCCAGTCAGTCCCTGTATCCAGATCAGAGCAAGTACGCATGCCATTGAGTTCACCTAGCCAAAAAAATACAGCTTGGAGTTTCTTTTGGAAATATTGGCAAGCATTAAAAATTGAACTGGGAAAACGGGATTAAAAGCAGGTGGGATTCCGGTATTAGATCTTTGAGATCTTAATACTAACTCTGGTTCTGGTTCTGATAGTGTATCAGCAGTTCCTTCTGAACCTAACTCTATCATATTCTTCATACTCATTTTCAGAAACCTGACTGCACACCACTCTGAATTAAATGTCAAGTTCAACCTCAGAATTATTTCAGACATCAGCAGTCTATTCTTTTTCATCCAAGTTATCTTGGCTTGATCTTTTAGCAAGATTTTTTTTTTTGATCCAAAGGTCACTGCCACTTTCAACACTTTATGCTAAGGCGGCTCAATTAGGATGTTTTAAGCCCTAATGAATATCCATTGTGTACAATTCCTAAGTGCTGGTTCAGCTGTCTGCTTAACAATGAACTTGAAAATACATGGAGATGGTTTTGTGAATGTGAAGCTTGAAGGTGCTCTGGGTGCTCAGGGGTTGGTTCTGGTTTCCTGGTGAGCCCATATTTATTTGCTAGCTTTTTAAGTATCTTTAGCATTTATCTAGTGTTCAAGAACAAAGAACGGGCTAATACATGTACTTTCTTTGTCTAATAATAGTTGGTGAAACTTACAAATGCCAGTTTTGAAATGAGCCTCAACAGCAGACCTCACTCTTATGCCATTTTGCTTTTTAAAAATTAATAGCAATAGCAATAGCACTTATACTTATATACCGCTTCACGTTGCTTTACAGCCCTCTCTAAGTGGTTTACAGAGTCAGCATATTGCCCCCCCAACAACCTGGGTCCAAATATATTACCTTTTGGATGTTCAGGCAGAGGCAAAACAACCATTTATTGGGATACCTTAATTTTAATTTTTGCACTGGACTAATAGCATAAATAACTATTTCCAATCATTGATGTGGGTACAAGAGAGGTACAAAAGTATTTCCTAAAGAGTCTTCCTCATTGATAGCATTGCAGAAAATATAGCAGACCAAAGAAGGCGAAGAACTGCTTTCTGTCGTCCCAGAAGTCAGGAGACAGAGTAATTAAATTAGCTTGCAGGAAGCCAGATAAACCAGATGAATCTGCTTTTATGGAACTTAAATCAACTGGATATCTTTAAGCAGAGGCTGGACGGCCAAGTTCTGCAGAAGCTTTAGTTTGGATCTCAGTGTTGGAAGCATGCCTGCAAGGGGTAGGACTTTTAATATCCCTGTCTGTTGTCATAATTTTCTATGGAAATAGTCATACTTTAAGATGTTATTTTAGTTAGTCTAAGTAAAAGGATAAAAGATGGGGAGTAGAATATGGAGAATAGCCAAAACAAAGGAAAGCTGGTTCCTATGATTCCTGCAATGAATGTTTGGCCTTGAGGTTCAAGGGCAGGCTTAAGACTCAAGTGATGGCCTCTGATCACATCACCTCTGATTACATCAACTGATCACTTGTTTCCTGTCTGGATTATTCTATCTATTTGTATAATCTCTCCCTTAATCATATAGGAGAAGCTAGTGAGATGGAGCTGCCCTTTCCTTAGAAAGAGGAAACTATTGCTTTTGATTGCTCACTCTTGGAATGTGGAGAATTAGTCTTCACCAACACACCATTCAATTGGAGGGGAAAAAAGTAGCTAACACAAGGGGCTATTGTTTTTCATTTCCAAGCATTCTTCACTGCCCAGGAAGTTAATGAGTATAAATTGCACTTTCTGGATAGCTGCATTAGGGGCCCAATCCCCTTTTCTATGATATCCATGGTTTGTGAACCAGAAACAAAAAGGAGGAACTACGGTTGTTTCCTCTTCTTTGCACATTCCTGCCCATCTTCAGAAGCTATGGAAGTTAAAAGCACCGTTATATATGAAAGCTACTTTGGTACAAGCACCAGGCTAGAACCCAAGAGACCATGAGTTCTACTCCCACCTTAAACATAAAGCCAGCTAGGTGATTTTGGACCAGTCACTCTCTCTCATCCTGGGAAGGAGGCATCTGCAAAGCACTTCTGAAATCTTGCCAAGAAAATTGCAGGGACTTACCCAGGTAGTCACTAGGAGTCAACACTGATTACAGAGCACCTAAGCAATATAAACAACAGCCCACCTGTTGTAGCTAAAGGAATAATCAAAGTGCTTTGATTATTGAATAGCTGGAGTGCAAATCTTTATTCAAATTAAAACCTAATGTGGAACAAATTACATACTCATTTTCTTAACTACACAATTTACAGTATACCTGGGAGTACAGCTGTAAAGTTCTACCACCTTCTCTATAGATTTTGCTGTAGCACCGTAGTTCCATAATTTTTAGTCTAAAATCTGTTAAAGGTAAATCTTGTTTTTATTGTACATCGAGCCACAAGGCTGAAATATTTAGAAAGACTATTTCTTTAACAGCGTTACTTTTCAAATACCTTTTAGATTATCTGTCCTGCTTATATTACAGGATCCTGTTATTCTAAATGTTGCTTAAACTAATGTCCAGCATGTGACAGGCATATCTCAAAACACTTTGATTAAATAGCAGTTCTTATGTATAATACAGTAGTATATTCCAAACATAAAAAGTATCAGCATTTAATAAGAAAGCTCTACAATTAATAACTCATGTCTTTTATGTAAATTGTGTCAATTTGGAATCTGAGCAACTGTAGCACAGTAAGTATATTTCCTTGTCTTTAAAGGAGCTTGCTGTCCTTTTGAATTTATAGTAGCAACTTGAAGAACAGCTCCCAGCAATGGCACTTAAATTTGAGAAAAGAGATATAGAAATTTGCTATAAATCACTTTTGATTGTGTTAAGATTGAAGTATCTTTTTAAATATGTTATTGTTCAGTGCTATTCCCCACCCCATTGTTCATTTTTTAGGAATTGAACTGAATACTGTTAGATGTATAGCATAGCATATAAACACTTTGCTGTGAGATACTCCTACCTCGCCAATGAAATCTAGGTAAACCTCTTAGATAGCATATTGAAGTCAAAACTTACTAAAAATAAAGGTTGTTTCATATCATTATTGGGTACCTTAGGTTTCTTTTTTCTTTTTTCATTAAAATTCCATGTCTAAATCAGGTAACTTATGTATGAGAGAGATTCTCCAGTTACTTTTTAAAAGCGTAAACAAGCTAAATTTATATGGGCCTCCTGACTACTGGTATATTAATGTACTTTAGTACTACTAACTCAGGTACTATCTTGATAATTAAAGCAACATTCCAAGATCAGCAAGTATCGTACAAATGTATTGGGGTGCTCATGGTGCAGTCGTATAAGGAAGGCAATAGATGTTGTTTTAAAACATGTTCCCTACATTCCAGTGCCTTTTTTCCCCCACTGAAAAGAATGTATGTTGAAACCACTTCCTCTATACGTAGAACATTGGTCTGTTTTCGCACTTGGAGTGACTGCAGTGGGAAGGCTGCAAATGTAAATCCATCTCAGTATTGGAGAAATATTTACCTGAAAAGGATACAGTGAGGAGGAGAGGAGGAGGAGGAGGAGGAGGAGGAGGAGGAGGAGGAGGAGGAGGAGGAGGAGAAGAAGAAGAAGAAGAAGAAGAAGAAGAAGAAGAAGAAGAAGAAGAAGAAGAAGAAGAAGAAGAAGAAGAAGAAGAAGAAGAAGAAGAAGAAGAAGTTTTGTCAACTCCAATTGAAACCAAACCTGGAGATATCCCATCCCCAGGGTGGTATTCAGCGAGTTCGTACCAGTCCGGGTGAACCTATAGCAGAAATCACGGGTGGGCCTGCCCCCCTGCCCCGGCTCTATTCCGTCCTATTTAGGCACATTTTCGAGGCCGGATGCATGCACAGAAGGCGCATGAGCAAGCAAAGCGCATGCACCGAAGGCGCGCACGAAGCGAGCGTGCACAGTGAACCGGTCGTAAGAATATTGGAAACCCACCACTGCTCACCCCCCATTTCAAGAGGAATGTGCCTCCCCCCCCCAAAAAAAAGGAGGTGGAGCAGGAGGTA